GGAGAGGAAGCCCAGTCAAATTTCTCTTCTTGTTTAGAGAGGAAATGAGAAAGAATTCACTGGTCTAAGGCAACAGGCAGCTTCTTCCTAGGCTACTGACATCTCTGCAAAAAGAGACAGGAGTCCCCGTACAGAGGGCAGCCCTCCTCCTAGAAATACAGGCCTCCCAAGCACAGCAAAGGGTGACACCCATTGTTAGTTATATGAGGTCGCTACAGATTCTGAGGATTTAGTGCCAGAAAAAGGCGAGCTATTAGAGCAGGAGGAGAAAGCGGTGCCTGTCATTCCATCTAGACTCTTCCTTATAATCTCTATACTGGAATGTGGGCTAAGGTCATCAGGGCACTAGAGCTTACATGCACTCCAAAGATACAGGAAGACAAGGAGGATCCTGGTTTTTCCTGTAGGCTCTGACAAAGCCATTCCCAATACTACTAAAACTGCAGGTGTGCCGCTTCCTGCGGCATTTTACAATATCATTATGGCAGAATGGGAACACCCAGGCAATCCAAAGTCTGGGAAACCCAGTGTTTAACAAACTCTGCTCTCTTATTTCAGGAGCCACAAAGAAGTTCAAACTTCCTATGGTGGATGATTCGATTAACTTATCAGTGTCTACTTCTCAATGTCTCATGGACACTGATGGACTCCCCAAAAAGACAAGGGAGTTGAAAAAGCACTGCGTAGAGTTTTTTGAGGTGCCTGCCATCTCCCTTAGAACATCAGCTACGGGATCCCTGTTTGCTCGAGCAGCCTACCTGTGGGCCTCAGAGCTAACTTCTGTAGACAGTGACATACCAAAGAGCCTTAAGGATGAGCTAAAACAGATAGCTCTAGCCACAGCATTTGCGGCAGAAGCCTCTTTGGATGCCATACAACTCACAGCGAGGGCTATGGCACTTAGCGTGACTGCCAGGAGAAATACGGGGCTGAGGCACTGGAATGCAGATCCAACAACAAGGGCCAAGGTGGCAGTGGTATCTCTCAAGGGAGTTAAATTTTTCAGAGCAGGCCTGGAACGTTACTTGGTGAAAGACAAAGACAAGTCACAGCTGCTACCATCAAAGAAGAAGGATATGAAATCTAGAAGGAGACCACAGTCCTTTTGAGACCTCAGTCGTGATGATAAACAACAAAAGTCAAACTGCATAACAAGTCTAGAGACAATAGGTCATTTGCCTTCACAGGGTGTTAAAGGACCCAAGAAGGGAACTTCGGCATAACTAGGCCAAGACAATGGAAGATATAGACATAAGCTTTCTCTGGGCAGTGGCACCAGACTGTGTCAGACAAGTGGTTCCTTGAGACGGTGGCCCATGACTGCACACTAGAGTTTGAAAAAGTTCCAAGCAATGTTTCTTGGAGATCCCAAGGGAAAGATCACCAGGAAAAATCACAAGATGATGTTACAGGCCATCTAAAATCTGTTGGATATTGGAGCGATAGAGTTGGTGCCTGAGACAGAGAGGTCGCTAGGAATTTATTCCATCCCCAAGAAGAATAGGAACACTAGGGCCATCTTGGACTTGAAGCGGCTCAACAAACATGTGCAATCACGAAAGTTCAAGATGGAGATGTTGAGGTCCATCTTTTTCCTCCATACATGCAGGGGACTTCCACCTGGAGGAAGTCTATCTGCACATCCTGACAAAGGATGATCACAGGAAATTTCTAAGGTTTGCATATCACAGCAAACATTTCCGATATTGAGTCTCGCCCTCTGGACTCAAGTCCTTGCCTCGGATCTTCTCCAAGGTCCTGGGGACACTAGTGGCCTTCCTAAGTCTGAGAGGAGTGGCCCTGTTTTCCTTACTTGGAAGACATCCTGATCCAGGCAGAGTCCAGTCACCAGGCAAGCCTACACTTGGACCTTACAATCCAAGTACTGCAGGGACACGGTTGTGCTATTAACAGGGAGAAGGAGACGCTGGAGCCGACTCAAGTAATTATACACTTGGGAGGGCAGATAGACACAAGACAGGACAGGGTTCTTCTGTTCCAGGAGAGGTTGTTAAAATTTCTCACTTATCTTACATCAGGTCCTGAACATTTAGACACTGGAGTAGACCCTAGCATGTCTACTGGGCATGATGGTGTCGTGCCAAGACCTACTACCGTGGCCTAGAGTTCATACGAGACCCCTGCAGCACTTTCTTTCTTCACTACCAGGAGGAAATAGACTAAAGGATAGTCAAGTAGGTAGAGTTACCACTGTCTGTGTGGACAGAGTTACAGTAGTGGCTAGTTCCGACTTGGTTCATAGAAGGGATACTTCTAAGGGAACACCAGAGGACCGTGCTCACAACGGATGTAAGTCTCTTTGGCTGGGGAGCGCATTCCATGGGACACATGGTCAAGACACCTGGTTGAAGTTGGAAACATCCGAGAGCATCAACTTCCTGGAACTTAGGGCCATAAAGTTGACCCTGGCTCACCTCCTGACTCAACTGGTAGGCAGTCATGTTCTGATTCAAATGGATAACATGATGGCGAAAGTCTATATTAACAGGTAGGGAGACACGCAATCCCAATGGCTACACCAGGAAGTGATGCAAGAGATGCAATGGGCAGAGAGTATCCACTGTCCTTAAAGGACACACATATAGCAGGAAGAGAAATGGGATGTCTTCCAACAGATCAGTGAAGATTCGGAAGGTAGAGGTGGATCCTTTCATGTTGAGACATGAAAGGGGCACTAGGAACGGACGCCCTGTTCCTAGCATGGCCAAGAACTCTACTCTATGCCTCGCTGCTCCTAACTCTAATTCCCAGAGTGGTACAGCAGGCGATAGATTAAAGAGCAGATGTTAACCTGATAGCGCCCTTCTGGCCACAGAGGGTGTGGTTCCAGGACTTCATGAGCCTCTCCAGAAGGGATCTATGGCGGCTGCCTCTCAGACGGGACCTTCTATCTCAGGAGATGACCGTTCATCTGCGACTGTACATGCTACAACTCACAGCATGGAGGTTGAGAGGAGACAGTGAGGAGCTCTGGGATAGGAAACAGAGGTGGTATCCATGCTCTTGGCATCCAGAAAATCTCCTATGACCAAATATGACAGATCTTGACAAACATCTTCTAACTGGTGTGGAGCGCAGGGGTTGGAACCGAAGCGGGCACAGGTTGGGGATGGCTTTCTCCAACAGGGTCCAAGTAAAGGGTTGAATACTAGTTCTCTAAGGCGACAAGTAATGACCTTTTCTGCAGTTGGAGGGGCTAGGAAAGGTAGGTCTTTTCCCCATCACCCGCACATATGGCGGTTTTTTGAAGGGGGCCTCCCTCCTCAATCCACCACAGGTACACAGGTTCTCCGCATGGAACTTAAATGCAGTGTTATGAACACTATGCAAGGAGCCATTTGAACCAATGGCATCATGTCCCATGAAAGACATTACTCTGTAAACAATTTCTTAGTGGGAATCTTCAGCGCGTAGGTTTGGAGCTGAGAGCTTTGTCGGTACACACAGATTTATGTATGTGACTGTTAAATGTAGACCTGTCTACCTTCCGAGAGAGTTTACTGTTGTCATGGCAACTGCTGTTTACATATCACCAGATGCTAATGCAAAATCGGCACTGGGGACTCTTGTATAAAATAATAAGCAGCAACCAAGACAAATATCCTGAGGCAGTGCATATTATTGCTGGGGATTTTAATCATGCTGAATTAAAAACTGTGCTCCCTAAGTTTTATCAGCATGTGAAATGTGCCACCCGAGGAGATAAGACCTTAGATAAGGTCTACTCTAACATAAAACATGGTTACAGAGCCATGCAGCTTCCACATTTGGGCCAGTCAGACCACATGTCCTTGCTCCTAGTACCAACATATATTACCCTCAGGTCACAAGCTCCTGTAAAAAGAAGGATGGTAAAAACTTGGCCTGAGGATGCTTCCCATCAGTTGCAAGATTGCTTTGAGAGGACAAACTGGGATATTTTTGATCATCAAGACCTGGAGGAACACACAGTGGCAGTCCTGGGTTATATTAAACACTGCATAGACAGTGTTACTGTGGAGAGGTGCATATGGGTCTATCCTAATCAAAAAACCTGGATGACGAGAGAGGTACAGCGACTTTTGAGGGAGAGGAATATGGCCTTTAGGTCTGGAGACATGAACCTTTATAGCTCTGCCAGAGCCAACCTGAAAAGAGGTATCCGACAGGCTAAGCTGGGCTATAGGCAGAGGATTGAGGATAAATTCAATACGAATGACATGCAGCGGGTGTGGCAGGGGATTCAGAATATTACCAATTATAAACCAACTCTTGCTGCCGTGGATGGAGACCCTTCATTGGCGGAGGAGCTTAATCTCTTCTTTGCCCGTTTTGATGTGGAGCCGAAGGGGATAGCCATACTACAGTCATCTGTCCATGGTGGCCCCTCCCTCAGGGTAGAAGAGCATGAGGTGAGGCGTACGGATTACTGTGAATCCGAGGAGGTCTGTGAATCCGAGGAAAGCAGCTGGACCTGATGGCATTACGCGATGGGTGTTGAAAGAGT